TTCCTGAGGTGATGGAGAAGTGACTCTTAAATACAGGGGCAATTTCCCCCTCCAGTTAATCTGTTTTGTCTTGCTCCTTTTCTAGGTTGAAAACTGGAACCCTCTGACAGATACAGTTCCCATCCACTCATGGATACATCCCTGGCTTCCACTCATGCAGTCACGCTTGGAGCCTTTGTACTCTCCGATCCGGAACAAGTTATCCAGCGCTCTGCAGAAATGGCATCCCAGCGATTCCTCAGCCAAGCTTATCCTGCAGCCCTGGAAGGATGTGTTTACTCCCGGCTCCTGGGAGGCCTTCATGGTCAAAAATATTGTGCCCAAATTAGGTGAGGAGATCGGAAGGTGGGGCCTGGGTGGGACAGCTTCTGTTCAGGGGCTCTGTCGACGGTCCACATTTTTGCTGCTTGTAATAGAGCTGATATCCTTGTCAGTTTAGCTGTTTACCTGTAAAAAAGGGCTTGGTGTCCTTTGTTCTGACACAAGACACTTCCCAGCAAATACACACACGTTTATTTCCCTGTACATTTAGTAACTCACTCAGCTGGCCTTCAATAAACACCTACTGTGTGCTGGACGCTGCACTAAACGCTGGCCTTCGGTCACTCCCCTAGATCAGTTTATTGGCTGCTGGCCAGGAGTCTGGGGCCTTTGGCACGTATAGCCAGTGACTGTTGGCTGCCTGAGCCTGCTGACACTGTTTGATGGTGTATACTCACTGTGTGTGTCGCTCTGGGATCTGGCTTCTTCCCTGTCACGCCCTTCAAGCCATACACGTCTTATGAGGTTTCTCTGCATTCTTCACATCCTTGATCCTCCCTTAGGGCATGGGTATGGTCACTTGTTACATTCAGTTGCTTTAGCTCATTTATCCATTCCCCAGTAATTGGGTAGATATTTTGTTTGCAGCTTTTTGTATAGCAGAATCTTGTCCTCTCCCCCCAAGATGAGCTAGGAGGCCGAGGGGATAGTCTGCAGTCAGGAAGACCTGAGTTCAAATTCTGCCATAGACACTCACTAACTGTGTGACTTTGGGCAAGTTATTTAACCTGTTTGCCTGTTTCCTCAGTTATAAAATAGAGATCAGAGTAGCCCCTACTTCCCAGGGCTGTGAGGATCAGATGAGATGTTTACAAAGTACTCGGCACATGCCTGGCAGGCATGACATAAATGCCAGCCATTGTAATTATTTTCATTATTAATTTTCCAGGATGCTATATCTTATTCATTGGATTTTAGATTTAGAACCGGAAGGGAATTTAACTCTTCATCTGATTTAACAACCTCATTTTACAAGTCAGGAAACTGAGGCTGCTGATGCTCCAGTGACTTGCCAGAGATAGGGCTTGACCCCAGTTGGACTTCACAACCAGTGCCTGTTCCACAGTGCTGCTGCCTCCTTAATGAGGCTGCCCAAAGATCAGTCACAAAGGTCTGCTTCTAACGTGTACTTTGCCCATATCCTGGAAACCTCCTGAGGGGCCTGGAGTGCAGTCCCCTGCCCAATGAAAAAATGGTCTCTATTAAGTATGGAAGGCAGCAGCATCTGAAATTGTCTGATGGGCTCGCCCCAAAGAGTAGCTCATTCCAACAAGGATGTGTGAACCACCTACTGCGTGCTGCACTCGTAATAGCACCTGCTTTGCCTTTTTACAAATTTACTTTGATTGTTCTTAAGATGGGACACCCATCACACTTCTTAAATTTTGTGGCCTTTTTTGCTTACTTTAAAAAAAATCTTGAAATTCCTAATTGGAAGAAAATTGGTTTAAAACCTGATGCATCTAGAGCTCATAACTGATCTTTAAAGCAGATTTCTACTCCTAGCAGTAATTGGACTTTGGCCTTTTAAAGCCCTAAATCTTGTTCTCTGGAGCCTTCATTAGCGTCTTCTTTGCTTTCTCTTCCAGGGATGTGTCTTAATGAATTAATCATTAACCCTCACCAGCAGCACATGGATGCTTTTTATTGGGTGATTGACTGGGAAGGGATGATCTCTGTCTCCAGCCTAGTAGGACTCCTTGAGAAACATTTCTTTCCTAAATGGCTTCAGGTATGTTTATAGCACACTAAAGACCTAGTTTTCTGCAGAAAGAGAAAAGCAAAAAAGGATGTTAAAAGCCTGCTCACAGGCCTGAGAATCAAGTGTCCTGGAGTGAGTAAATGTCAAATGATATTTAATTGAAAAATTAAAAATATCCTGGTGGCTAGGGGGCTGGAAGAGATGCAAAATGAAATGTGGTTAGTGGCAAGCAGTAGATCGTGAAGTCATTCGGTTGGCCGTTTATTTGTACAGATGTGATTGGAGATGAAATGTACTGTCTGAAGGCTGTGCCTGTGTCTGTGGCCATACTGGTGATATATTTCCTTGCCAGGTCCTCTGCTCTTGGCTCAGTAATAGTCCAAATTACGAAGAGATCACCAAATGGTACCTGGGGTGGAAGTCCATGTTCTCAGACCAGGTTTTGGCACATCCATCTATCAAGGACAAATTTAACGAAGCGCTCGATATCATGAACAGGGCTGTGTCGTCCAATGTCGGTGAGTGGATCAGCCCCATCCTCTCCAAGGCTGGGGATAAGGGAGCATTAAGGAACCCTTCTAGCACTGCCTGAAGCTCCCCAAGCTGGAGCTGCCTCGTTATTCACGGTCCCCAGAGAGGAAGGATGGCAGAGACTAGCCACATGGGCTCTTCTTTCACCGCTCCGTAGCTTGCTCTGTTTCTCTCGGTCAGCTTGTGCTCTGCTGTCCTGGGTGTCACCTTGGACATGTGGTTCAGAATCCTGTCTCTTGTCCCTGGCTGTGCGACCTTGGGCGAGTCTGTAAAAGGGAGATGATGATACGTGTGGGTCGTGGCGAGGATCAGAGATGATAAAAAATAACTGTCATTTATACAGTGCTTGGATTGCAGAGTGCTTACATACATAATTTCCCTTGGTCCTCACCACAACCTGGGAGTAAGCCTATTGTTATCTCCATTTTACAGATAAGGAAACTGAGGCAGGGAGTGGCTAAGGGATTTGCTTCCCACTCACAGGGCTAATAAGTGTCTGAGGCTAGATTCAGCCTGGCATGCTTGATTTGTAAACCTTTATAAAGTGCTGCATGAGTCTGGAGCTGACTTCAGAGATCTCTGAAGAGAAGGACTCTAACTGAGATGCCCACTGAGACTTGTACCTGCTTGCTGCTTTTAAAATATTATATATGGGGGCAGCTAGGTGGCGCAGCAGATAGAGCACCAGCCCTGAAGTCAAGAGGACCTGGGTTCAAATCTGGCCTCAGACCAAACACTTGACACTTACTAGCTGTGTGACCCTGGGCAAGTCACTTAACCCCAATTGCCTATTAAAAAAAAAAAAATATATATATATATATATATATGTATATGTGTGTATATATACATATATATATACACACATATACACACACACATTTTGAGATGTGTATCAAAGGTGTATACACACATCTAAAGGAACCATATTCTGTGCTCTATTATTAAATAGTATTAATAAATATTATTAAATATTAAAGCTATTTTTGTTTCATATAAAGCCCTCAAGCTAATACTGTTGTTAAAAGCACAGGGATCTACCTTCTTTGTAATATTGGTAACAGGCACTTAGCACGTTGGATTGCAGAGCATTGTGCTTAAGGTCACAATAAAACCCGTAGTCCTCGTTTTATAGCTGGGGAAATGGGCTCAGAGACCTGGGGGACTTGCGTCTGGTCCCCCAGCCAAGGAGGGTCAGAGATAGCCTTTGAACCCAGGTCTTTTCCACTCTGTGGTGCCACTCGTCAGTGCCAAGTTTCGTTTCTAGTCGGGCTGCTCAGGACGTGCACGCGGCCATAAGCGGTTATTTAACTGAGTGCTGACTCTCGGCTTGGCCCTCCGAGTATGATTGTTCCTTGGGCACGTGGACGTGAACTGGCCAGACTGTTTGTTTCAGTTTCTTCCAGAGGTACAGGGCTGCATTTTATTTTCGAACTTTGGTGTAAAGCTAATTGCAAACAGCTTGGGGTGTATTAGGACGTTTTTATTAACCCCAGGCTTAGGTTAAAATGTAACTTTCTGTGTTTGCTCCTTCTCTGAAGCACTGCCTTGTCCTCATATCTACTCTTTTCTCCGCCGTATGTTCACAGGGGCCTATATGCAGCCTGGAGCTCGGGAAAACATCGCTTATCTCACTCACACAGAGCGGAGGAAAGACTTCCAGTACGAAGCCATGCAGGAGCGCCGAGAAGCAGAGAACATGGCCCAGAGGGGCATAGGTGTGGCAGCCAGCGCAGTGCCCATGAACTTCAAAGACCTCATTCAAACAAAGGCTGAAGAACACAATATTGTCTTCATGCCCGTTATCGGAAAACGGCACGAAGGAAAACAACTGTACACTTTTGGGCGGATCGTAGTCTACATCGACCGGGGTGTTGTGTTTGTGCAAGGGGAGAAGACTTGGGTGCCGACATCCCTGCAGAGTCTGATCGATATGGCAAAATAGGGCCTGGCTCCTGAGCAGGAAAATTGTATAAAGGGTGTATTAAAGACTTTTAAAAAATGAACTTTTTGGGGCCCCACTGAATCCACAGTAACCTGGGACACTCAGATCACATCCAGACCAGGTCTTAGGGGAACAGTCCTCTTCTTCCTCTCCTCCAATTCTTCCGGTGTGACAGCCCTCATAGCCTGAGGTCACACCATGCTTCTCTAGTGGCATGATCAGGAGAATTGGCTAAGCTTCCTAATCTAAACCAGAACCCATCTGAGGGTGGGCATGGCCTGAGCCCAGATGAATCCAGCCTCCTGCCCTCCTCTTTCTAAGACTTTGCCTACCCCGGCTCCTCCCCATCCACAGTATGGGGGGAAAATAAAAACGTGCTTCTTCTACCTACAAGGATACTACCCAGCACTTCAGCAATGGAATTTAATCACAGGCCTTCCTTCCCAGCTGTCCCTTCTCCTCACAGGGACCAAGAGCTACTTCCTATCACACAGGACATCACAGTTAAAGGAAATGCTAAGCATTTATTTCTAAGAGCAATTTATAAAATTTCAACAACACCTTCCCAATTGGGAAGACTTGGCATGTCTTATGGTTCCTCTTTCTAAATTCTCCCAGCCTGGGTCCATCTGGGTAAGAGAAACAAGGAATTCTTTGAAATCATCCGAGGCATCAGCTGCTTTTAGCTTCTCAGTGACGCAGACACTCCGTAGTCCACGTGTGGCCTCTGGAGAGGTTCTAACCCTGGCCAGCGTTCCTCAGCCCGAGGATGAGGCCAGACTGCAGCCCGGGTCTTCCTGGCTTTGCTTCTGACCACCATGCAGTAACAGGGAATTAATGCTGTCCGAGGAAGGGCGGAGTCTGCTTCCTCTGGCTCCTGATGATTTCCAGCTCCTCACTTTTCGAATAGTGTGGCTCTTCTTGGATGGTCCACGTTTCACTGGGAAGCTCTTTCAGCTTTTGTAAAGGAAACCAATGGAAGGCAGTATCATTAAATATGTCCATGTAGTGCAACGTCTGAGGAAATTCAATCTCTTCTGTTCCTTTTAAAATCTAGAAAGAATCCCAAGGCAAAATCCAATTAGTCCCTCAAACTTAATTCCTTCTTTCTGGGTGAATGCTAGATTTAGTCTTTTAGCCTTAATCCTTTATTCTGACTTAAAGAAGGGTTACAGGCTTCAGTTTAAAAAAAAAAACAAAGCAAAACAACTTTGGTACCTCTGCCTCAGAGTCCCAAGAATAGTGGCAGTGTTTGCTCATAATTTTAACGAGTGGAGAAAAAATCAGAAACAATTTGACAGATATTAAGAGGCAACCTAAGAGTTGTCTCAGTGTACTGAAATAGACCCATTATTGTAATCAAACTTACTGAATCCCTTCCTAGGAAAATATCCATGTATTCTTGTTTCAATTATAGGCTAATTTATCTTATACACAATTTGAATGTGATTATTTTTTTAAACACTGAGGAAGAGCCACAAAGATGAGACTGTTCCCCCAGCCTCACCACACAGCATACCTACCTTTGCCACATAGGGGTAATCTTTCTGCAGAATCTTTGTTAATAACCTAGAAATAAAAACCATGATTAAGAAGTGAGACAGAATAAATGAACAAGAGGGCTATCTAAACTGAAGGTGGAACTTCCCAAAATGAGGAATAGTTGTTGGAAAGGGAAAACACCTTCAAACCTGTTCTGGTGGGAGGAAGGCCAGAAGAGCTCAAAGCTAACACAATCTCAGACCTGGAAGGACATCAGAGGCCAGGTGGCTGAACCAGACCTGACAGGACTCCGTCTACAAGATCCCCAACCAGTGGCTATCGCTCCAGCCTCTACCTGAAGACTCGCAGCGAGGTGGGAGAAGCTCACTGTCTGCCCAGGCAGCCCATTCTACTCTGGAATGGCTCTTTACTGGCTTTCCTTTTGTCAAGCCTCGATTTGCCTCTCTGCAGCTTTCTACTCTTCTTGTTCTAATGCTTCAGGATTTTATGGCTTAGGAAGATGAGTCATCATGAGCCAAGAAGGTACTGATCCACTGTATGTGGCTGTAACCTCAGAGCCTGACTGCAGGACTGTTTAAATCACATACAGGTAATCCAAAGGGAAGCAAGCCCTCATTGTAACAAGGGCCATTTTACTTAGTGTGGATTCTTTAATTCCCTCATGTTTTAGCTCATCTTAACCAAAGCCTCTGGGGCTCATTTTCATGGTTTGCCTTTTTAACAATAATTCTAGGAGAGAAGTAACAGAAAGCCAGGGGTGGGAAGGTGGGAATGCTTTAAATCAATCCAGGGTGATCTGAAAATGTTCAAAGCAAACTTTAACTTAAACCTTACATGGATTACTTCAGGTACTTACTTTCCTTCAATTCCTTTGAAACTATTTCCAATGATGATCATCTTAGAAAGGGAGGTGACTGACCAGTTACTCCATAACAGATTGTTATACAAAGCCGTTCCACAGTGGATCATGTAAAAAATGGTGGGTTCATCACAAATACTCCGTTTTCCTTCCTATGGACAAATTTGGCAACGATGTAACTGGCAGAATGCAGATTGCTAGGCTCCAGAGAAATCATTCCAATCAAATTCAACAAAAGGTACTCTGACCTGAGCCCATCACTGATGCCATTAGTTCAGTGGTATCAAACTCAAATAGAAACTTGGGCCACTAAACCCCTGGTGGGGGCACTGGGAAGTCAAAATATGCTCAACACTTTTTTATGAGTACATACAAAGTACCTAGAAGACTGAGAAGCATCCCCACTCACCACTAAGGTCCTTTGAATTCTCTTGGTGGTACAGAAGGGACCTTGAGTTTGTGAAGGCTGTGCTAGCACGGCAGAACCTGACACATCTGGTCAAAAACTCTCTCTGGGAGCTGGCCTGAGTGTGGAGAGCCCCACCAGGGTGTTTCACAGGTTAGAAGATCTATGCTAAGCTTCTCCTGGCACGTTCTTAACTCTTAAAATCTTACCTCATTCTCACTGAGAACAGTCAGGCCGAGGGTGTTAAGAACTGAAATTTCAACTTCATTAAAGAGAGGATCAAATATATAGCAGTGACTTCTGGGAATCTGCACAAGAAAGAAAAATGAGACGCTACAGAGCCATTTTGATTTCCTTTGATTTCCTTTACCAGTATCCCTTATTGTCCTTACCTGTAACTTCTCCAGAAAGAGAAGTAAAAAAGCTAGTTGACTGCAAGCTATTACACATGAAGCAAACTTCCCAATTCCGTAGCAAACACACTTAAAATGGCTTGTCCTCTTCAATGAGTCTTCCTTCACATTGGGTGCCTCAACTGGGTGCTGTGATGGTTTGAGGTGGACGTGTTCGAGGGCTTCGGAAATGGGTGCCATAACTCCCTGTAGTTGTTCCAGAGGTTTAGTAAGACGCTTCTGGATCATTCCTGAACATCAAGAGACAAAATTCCAATAGAAGCAGTAGTTTGATGTTATAAGTCGAATTATCAAAGGTTTGAAAGGAAGAAAGGTATTAAGACTGATTTCTGCTGAAAAGGTTTTCCTGGATAACATCACAAAGTTCCACTCCTCAGCATCTAAACAGGGCTTGCAGACAGTATAAGCACCTAATGAGTGGTTACAGTGAACGAGTGTGGCTCTGTACTGAAACAGCAGGCAAAAACCACCTCCGTTCGGGGTCTTCCTTATGAAAGAATGGAATTCAGTTAAAGCAACATTTAAGTGCCTACACTTTGTATGGCACTGTGCTAAGCAGTATGGATACAATGATGAGAAAAGAGCCATGAAAATACCAATGCTCAGAAATCAAAAGGCTATCAATAAGCAAATGATTATGCTTAACTATTCTACATGAGTTTTATTTCAGTGTTCTTTAGCTTGGGAAAGAAACAGATCGCTTCTGTAAGCAGAATGGTCAGTTCTAAGGGAGTCATTCTTCAGGGCAGGCAGCTGGAGTGTGGAACAGGCTGGGAATGGGATTTTTTAAGAAAAAGGTGCCCCCAGATCTCCAAGAATGAACTTCCAATCTAATCTCTTGATTTATGGAAAAGGAACAAACATGAAGCCTGTCATTCTCTAATTTTTACTTTTAACAAATGATGCTTTTTTCTACATTAAACATTTTGTGAATTTGCATGTCATCTCTGTTCACTGGCTATGCCAATCTTCCCTGGACTGTTGGAGCTTTAGTACAATGTGATGCTCAAGGACACATTCACTGAGGCTTTGAGGAGTCCGTGATCTCCTTGTGTGGACAGTCCCTCTACTGGTGCAGATCACAGCTTCTCCGCAAAGAGCAAAGAACGCTGCTGCCTCTGGAGTCAGAACGTCTGGTTGCAAAGCCCACCTCTGACCCCTGCTTCCTGTGTGACCCAAGGCCACCCTTTTCTGTGCCCCAGACTCAGTGTCTTCCTCTGTTAAATATAGGCTTTGAAATGGATGGCTTTGGAGGTTTCCTCCAGCTCTAGATCCTATCATCCTCCATGCCTTCTCTTTTGTGATTCTCGCCCATAGCTTTCTTTTTAAAAATTTTAATTTTATTTCTTAAAAATTCAATTGTTTTATTTTCAGTTCCAGCTTTTCTCCCTCTTCTTCCCTCTCCCCTCCTCCACCCTTGAGAAGGCAAGAAAAACAAAACCCATTACAAACATGTATAGATGCAAAACAAAATTTCCTATTACCCATATTTTTTAAAAGCCAAGAAGACAAAAGAGAAGAAAACATGCTTCAGGTCTGTGGAGGTAGCTAGCATGTTTCATCATGGGTCCTTTGTAACTGTGGCTGGTCGCTGCATTCATCAGTTACTATGTCTTTCATAATTATTTTTACAATATTGTTATTGTAGAAATTGTTCTGATTTTGCATCAGTTCATATAAGTCTTCCCCAGGCTCCTCTGAAACCATCCCCTTCATCATTTCTTATAGCACAATAGTATTCCATCTCCTTTACATACCATAACTTGTTCAGCCATTTCCCCCATTGGTGGGCATCCCCTCAGTTTCCAATTTTTTGCTACCACAAAAAGAGCTGCTATAAATATTTTTGCATCTATGGACCCTTTTCCTCTTTCTTTGATCTCATTGGGGTATAGTATCAGTATCATTGGGTCAAAGGGAATACACAGTTTAATAGTTTTCTGCTGCCCATATCTTTCTATACATCTTCCATAGAGGAGTCACCTGATGTAGCATCTATAGGCCTTTCTCTTATCCTTTCGTATTTCCTGAATGCTATGCAGGCTACCCATCTATTATCCTTTGATCTCATGACGTGGCCAGTTCACGTCCCTTTCAGATCACATAATGGATGACATCTTACATCACTTCCTGCACATAAGTAATCATGGAAGTATAACACAACCTACATACGCCTGCCATGCATCTTTTTGGTGCAACTTGTATTCTTCCACAATAATGTTCTTAACGGCAATTTAGCACCACTGGGGGAATGGTAAAAAAGATGGGTTTTTGCAGCAGCAAACAGCTTTGAACTATTTAAAGGGATATATAATTTCCTGACTGTTGTTCTGGCTATATCTATTATGAACTATATGGTTAATTTTCTATGCTGTACCCCTATCCAAGATCCAAAATGCACTGATGGGACAAAATCATTTGGCTGGCCAACGTATCTGAGAAACAGATGATTTCTTACATGTTCTTTTTCATTGTGGAGAGCTAGGCTGACCTCCTTTGAATGACTATGGACTTATTTTTATCAGTACTAAGTTTGACAAATGTTATTTTCTTAAAGATAAGGGGACAAAGAGAAGCCTTAATAAATGATTTTCCATCAGGATCTACTAGTGCCTTGGTATACTTTTCTTCTGTATTCAGGGATGAATGGCATGTTACTCACCCTCTGCCAAATGCCAGAGATTGGAGATTAGCAGGTCCTCCCTGTTAAAGATAAATACAGAGTCATTATTGCCCCTTCCTTTCAGTGCTGCTTTAATCCCTCACCTTTTTTGGCCTGAGACAAATGCCCAAACACTTTTTTCCACCCTGTTCCTTCACAGTAGAGACTTCATTCTCTCAGGAGAGGTCGGAGGCCAACAGAAGCTGCAGTCACCTTCCATCTAGGTGTACGGAGGCTGGCTCTCAGGGCCTGTAGCATCAGCTCCTCATGAAGCTGGAACAGACGACTCTGCTCACGATCACCTTAAGATGACTAAAATGAGAACTTTACCAGGATTCTCCTGGATTATAGGAAAAAGAGGAATCCAGGCTGTATGGGGGAAGATTTAAAGTTCAGAAAATGTGGTTAAGGAGCTGCGACCACATACACATTGTTTTCCCCACAGCTCCTGTTGGCCTGTAAGAAGAAACTCGCTTGGAAAGGTGAGGCCTAAGCAGTGGCTACTTTCCAGACCAAGGGTTGCTGGCACAGTGGTCAGGCAGCAAGGGAGGCCGGCTGTTTGGCTTTGAAAGAGAAGACATGGTGTTTTTCACTCCTAGATGTAGGCTTAGCTGCAAACAAGTTTTCCAGCATGGCCAGGGCCATTTCCTGGGGTGGGTGGGAGCAATTCAGCTCCTTTGGGAAACAAGGCTGCTTCAAGGTCAAGCTCACATTCCATGCCCTGCATCCCCCCAAGCCTTGCCAGTGTGCCTTCCTCCTCTCCACCCTCCATGACTGTCTGCTATTTGTGGACAGCTGTTTCACCGCCAGGAAGGCAGGCGCATTGTGTTTGTATGCCAGCACTCGGTAAAGTGCCTGACACACAGCAGGCATTCAATAAAGGCTTGGGGAATTGAACTGGAAATGCAGTTTCCTATTCGCTTTTTCCCAGATCCAGCTTCGTTTTCTTACAATCAAAGTCCACCGGACCTGGAAAGTCCCTGTGAGACCATCTGGTTTCACCCCTTCATCTAGCAGAGAAACAAACAGAGCCCTAGGGGAGTCAGGGTTCCCTTCCAATGTGGGGGAAGGGGGGTCAGCGCTCTCTCCACCACAGGCCGGCTTCCTTGCGTCCTGTGCTTTGGGGCCTCCCTGCAATGTCCCTGGGAAAGGAAGCTCCGCGTTCCAGGTCCGGAGAGCTTGACCTCAGGGCAGCGGGGCCATCTGGATGGACCATCAGCGCAGGGAAGGCCCTATGGACGTGGAATTTTAAATGGGCCCATTTCGTTGACTGTATTGAACATAACTGGCTTCCTTTACTTCCCAGGTGTTGGATTTTATGCGCTGACCTGGGGATCTATGGCACAAAAAAGGTAGAGGCTTTACAGCGGCCCACGTCGGAGGGGGTGAGAGGAATAAGCATCGACTGAGCGCCTACTGTGTGCCAGGAAGTGTGCACTTTACAAATTCACCTATCTGATCTCACCACAACCTGGGAGGTAAATGCTGCTATTATTCCCATTTTAAAGAGGAAACTGAGGCAAACAGGGTTCGGTGACTTGCCCAGGGTCCCACACCGGTGTCTGAGGCCCGGGGCTCTCCCGGAGCACTAGGGAGGGGTGGGGGGCTCAAGGGCCACCTTTGCTTAGTCCCCTCATTTCCCATTAGAGACCACCGAAGCCCAGACGGCGAAGGCAGGGTCGGGTAGGCTGCGCGCCTGCTCCCCAGGACAGCAGCTTCCTCCTCCGTGGCCGGGGCTCCTTCCGCACTCACCGGGCCTTCCAGACCCGCCTCCGCACCGCGCCGCCGTCCCCGCCCACCTCCGGGGCTTCCGGGGCCGCGTCCGGCCCGGCCGGCCTCGGGCGCCTCCCTCTGCGCTTCGGCACAGTTTTCCATTCACCGGCTGCGGCCGCCGCCATCATGGCGCTGGGACTGACGTCATCGCCGCGCGCCGGCGCCGACGCCGACTCCGTCTCCCGGCGTCCCTCGCGACTGAGCTGGGGCGGGGCCAGGGAGGGGGACGTGAGGGGGGCGGGGGCGGACCCTGCGCGTTACCTGGAAGGCCGCCGCTCGTGCCGCGCTCAGGTAGCCCGGGAGGGGCGGGAGGAGGAACTAGGGTGGGCCGGGGAGGAGGACCCCTCCCCCGTTCCCTGCCCGCGGCCTCTTGAGGTCGGGGGTAGGGGCCGCGGGCCACGGCTGGACGTCGGACCCCCGCCCGCGGGATGACTGCGCATGCGCAGAACGAGGAAGCCGGAGCGAGGAGGGAACCCTCAGCCGGCGCCGCCGCGCTCACGTGGCCGCCGGGGTCTGGGGGAAACCGAGGCCCGGAGGCGTCCAGCGGGCAGCGAATGAGCTGCAGGGCCGGGGGCTCAGGGCACTTTAGCCAACAAGCATTTATTAAGTTCCTGCCAGGTGCTGGGGATACAGCCATTTTTATTAAGTGCTAAGAGCTGGGGAGAAAAGCTAACGAGCATTTATTCAGCTCCTACGTGTACCAGGCACCGTGCCAAGCGCTAGAGATAACAAATAAGTCAATAAGCCTTGAGAGCCTACTGTGTGCTAAGCTCTGGGGACCCAGAGAAAGGCTAAAGACGAGAAGGATCCCAGAATCTGATGAGGGAGCCGGCATGCAAACAGCTGTGCACCGTCAGTAGGATTGACGGGGAACAGCAGGGAAGGGCTAGGATTAAGAGGGATTGGGGAAAGTCTCCGGGAGAAGATGGCGCCAGTGGGCAGAGATGGGGGGGGAGCGGCCAAGAAAATACCGGAGTCCGGAGATGGAGGGTCTCGTGCGAGCCAGTCACTGCATGGCAGAGCACCTTAGCACACTGGCACCTGAGCACCTAGAACGTCGGAGTCGAGAAGGACCTTAGGCTGCCAGGGTCGGTAGTAACCTTAGAACACAGAACGTCAGGCTTGTAGGACCTAGACCAATTCCTTTTCTATCGAGGAGAAGGCTGAGGCCCGGAGGTCACGCTCCGAATTAATGGCAGAGCCCTAACTTCCAGCCTGTGGCTCTCTTCCCCCCGCCCCGTTCATTTCAATTCAACAAGGGTTGCCTGCTCGCTACGCCCAGGGCCAGCTGCTGTTTTTGGTTACGGAGGCGAAGAAAAGGATTACATATGCTCTAGTTGTCTCCCCTTCATCAAGCTGCTTGGAATCCCAGGGGCTGACCATCTTCTGCGGACTTTCACCAGTTTTGGCCTCTGGGGAAAGGGATGAACACATTCACCCTTGTAGACTGCGTTCTTAGAGGGCAGATGTTCTACATACACATTGTGTCTCCTCTACTGCTAGGTATGGGGCCTTATGCCTACCAGGTCCCTAACACTTGTTAGTGGAGTATCGTGATTCAAAAGTCCGACTGGCACGTTCCGGTTTTGTTGTTTCAGAACCTGCCCACTTCTGGGGAATTTACGTCCTTTTCTTTTGTTTCAGTTTTAGCTTGCCAGGGGATAGTTCTTTTTTTTTTTTGTTAATGCCTTGTATGGCTGGCTGAATGTTCATTCCCAGAGCAATTTGCCAAGCCTGTTACTGGAGAGTAACTCCAGTGAGGAGAAGAAACAAGGAGAGAAAACCCAGATTCAGATCTTGTACTTTGTGACCTTTGAGCCCTTTGCAACTTTGTTTTCTTGTGAATAAAGTGGGAATACTTCTCTTACAAGGGTATTGTAGGGCAAATGAGATAAAGAATGATATGTGTAGGATAATAGTACACATTTATATGATACTTGATTCGGGATTTTCTGTGATGATCTGCTAACCATTTATTATTTCTTTTCTTAATCATAGCATTTAAGCCTAAAAGAAAACTCTTTGAAAATATTTGCATCAGCTGATGTCTGTTAGGTCACATGATGGGAACATGGACTTTGAAATAACTTATTCATTACATTCCTTCTAGGGCTAAAATATTAGTTTGGACCGGAAGCACCAGGCTGAAAATAGAAGTATCTGGACACCTTTAAACTGGAGGAGAGGGGGTGACTTGTCCAACTCTGAAGCATGCACCCCTCCAACAGAACTGGGCTGGGGAAACATGCCACAGATTTCCTAGCTTAACCAGTGAAGAAATGCTTCGGGGCAGGCTCCTGTAGAAGCTGTCCAGTGTGCTTGGATTTCTTAGTGGAAGCTTTGTTTTTTTGAACATCTCTTCTCTGTGATAAGGAAATTTGAAGCTATACCTCCTCTGCTTCAGACGTTCAAGAGACCCCTAGGCCTGTGAAGAAGAAAGGATTCAGCACCTTCGCTTAAACTCAGCGAGTACCCATTGTAGACACTTAAAATAAAGGCGGCTTCCCATTGGATTGGTGAAATCAAGGGTGGGAGAATCTGCCATTGCTCCTGGAAAGAGAGATGGCTGAACAGTTTTTAGTGGAGGAGAATACTCACGTGAGGAGCATGAGGCAGATTTAAGCCAAACCGAAGTAAATGGCCACCTCTGTCTTAGAAGGAGCCAAGGCAGTCTCTTGGTGAGTAGCCCATTAGCCATGTGACTTAAATGAAGTCTGCTGTGGAACAGCTCCTCGGCTGCTTATTTTTTTAAAAATTTTATTATTTATTTTTACTTATTTTTTAAAATGCATTTTGTGAGGGTGTTGATTCAATGACAGAGCTTCAGTTCAGTAGACATGTATTAAACCTTGCATGTAGTAGGCACTTTATGGTTTCCAAAGTGCTTCCATAAAGATGCAGAATCTCAGAGTTGGGAGTTGGCCACCTAGTCCGAGCCATCCCTGAACAGCGTTCCTGCCATGTGCTCATTCACTGCTTGGAGACTTCCAGAAAGGGAACCCCCCCCAACCCCGCCCTTTGGGGCATCCCGTTCCACCGTGGGATGGCTCTGATGGTCAGGAAGTCTTTCCTTAGGTCAAACCTCAGCCTCCCTCGGCTCAGCTTCTGCCTTTGGCTCCTGGTTCTGCCCTTGGGATCCAGTCAGAACAGAGCCCACCCCTTTTCCAGGGGGTGGGCCGTTGGTTATTTGAAGGCGGCTGTTGCACCCCTTTTAAGTCATACCCCTTTGCCATTGTTGTTGCCCTCCTATGGACACCCTCCAGATTATCGGCCTCCTTCCTAAACTTCGGCATCTAACACCAAAGCCAGTCCTCTAGAGATGGTCACCCCCTTCTTCCTGGCCCCTCTATCTGTGTTGATACAGCCCAAGAGCCTGTTGTTCTTCCTGCTCTCTTGGACTGTTGATGCTGATTGAGCCTTCACTCCACTCAGACCCCTTGATCTTTTATTAGTCTAGCCCTGTATCCCCCAGCTGGTGCTTGGGAGGTTTTCCCATCTCTTATGTCACTTTTTCCTCATGATAACCCTATGGTTGTCAGCTAGGGGGTGGTCTTAGGTGAATGATGTGGCCAGAGCCGCATTCCTCATGAGTGGCAGCATTAAATGCCCATCCAGGCCTTATGACTCCAATTCCAGCCAGGGCTCTTCCTCTGACACACTTCGGGCCACTGTGTGAGCCACTTCCCAAGCAAGTTAATTCCTTTTAAAGCTGTCAGAACGTGAAGGTTGGCACGGCAGTCTTTTATCGAGGATGTTACCATTAGTAAATTGCCTCAAGAACCAATCAGAGAACTTAGCTCACTCAGCCTTACCAGGTTTTTGTGGGGGTTGGATGGAATCATTCTTTTGGAAGTGTTTGGGCACAATACAAATGTCAACTATTATTATTTACAATTAAGTAATTTCCATCATTGTAGACGGATGGCAGATGTTTGGGATGTGCCGAGTTTTTCTATCCATGGAGGTCTGGCCAGGATGCCTCTTAAAGAATCTTAACAGCTCTGCCTAAAATGAAATTCCCTAATTCATTCCAAGATGTTTTAACTTAAAACAATCTGATTCAATAATCAGGGTTAATTCATCAAACATTTAAATGCCTCCTTGGAGTCAGGAAGACCCAAGTTTGAAACCTGCCTCAGATCTTTAACTAACTGTGTGACCCTAGGCAAATCATCTGCTTCAGTTTCCTCAGCTGTAAAGCAGACATAATACCAGCACCTATGTCTCAGGGTTGTTGTGAGGCTCAGATAACATAATATTTGCAAAGTGGTGCTAGCTATTATTATCATTATTACTACTCCTGTGGGCAATGATTTGTGCTCAAGTCTGGGAATAGAAAGATGAAAAATGATATAGTTCCTGTCCTCAGGTAGCTTATAGTCTGTTGGGGGAAGAGATGGGTATGGACATTTGCCCATGTTATCCTCATAATAACTCTGAGAAGTGTTGCTATTCCCAGTTAGGAATGAATGAAAAATATGAGGCTCAGGGAATTCTCCTCTCAGACAAACGTCGAGCGTGACAAGATGAGGCAGACCAGGAGGTGGACAGAGCCTGGTGCCAGGCCTCCGGAGCCTCCATCCCAGCTCAGTCACTGGCTACCTCTGTGACACCGGGCAAGCCGCCGGCCCGTCTGGTCCTCGGTTCTGACTTGTAGAGTAAAATGCAGAGCGTGAGGAAGGGGAGGGGCTGTGCTGTGCCACCCAGGATTCTGTCTGTGGCAGCAGCCCTGAGGACCCCTGGGTGCCCAAGATGGAGGAGCCTGACAGCCGCCCCATGCCCAGAGCATTGTAAGGTGTAAAAAAGAGCATTCCTGTAAGCCGTCCTCAGGCAGGCAGTGCTCATCATTATTACCCTTAGTTTCACAGAGGAGGGAGCTGACACTCAGGGAGGCTGAAGGGACTTTCTTGTGGTTATACACCGAGTCATCTTCAGAAGGGGAATTTTGAAGAAGCCTGGACTTGGAGTCAGATAATCAGGGCTTACATCCTGCCCCTTGTCACTCCCTCGCCTCTCTGGGCCCCAGCCTTCACATCTGTAGGAGGAGGACTCCGAAGGCCATTCCAGCTGCAGATCTGTGAGCCTGGGATCCCAGGGCCCTTCTGACTCCCTCAGATGCACTTTGCACTTTCCCAACTTCCACTGTGCCGACATCGTCGGCTGCCCCCAACTTCCTCTTAGTGCTACAGGAACTTAGTTATCAAAAGAAAGTGGTGAATGGTGTGGTTGAACAGTGAAGGCTCCTCGTTTCAAATACAGCTTGTCATCGTGGGCACTTCATTCCTCCTTTCTCTCACCCTCCTTCTTTTCTGGACAGATGGTCCCAGATGCATAGAGGCATATTTTTAGGGGGACACTCCTGCACCTGGGCAGTGGGTCTGCCCACTTGTAGTTCAGAGGGTCCAGAAGGGCTCACTGACATTGAATCATGAGTCTTTCAGGGACGAGATGGAGTTGGGAAGCTTGGTTAAAGATGGCGGCATCACAGGAGGCTAAGAAACGCACTGTCATCCTGCCCCTCTGTCTCTCCAGGTGGAATTATTTTTTTCTTTATGATGGCTCAAAGGTAAAGGAAGAAGGGGACCCAACCAGAGCAGGCATTTGCTATTTCTATCCTTCTCAGGTAAGCCACGTGGTATTTTACTCCACTCCCACAGTGCGGTTTTTAGAAATTGGGGCCCTCAGCTGTGTGTATGATCTGGGAGTGAGGTTTTGTTTTGTTTGGAACATGCACAGGCGTGGCCCCAGAGATCTCTGAGGTGCCTCTCAGGTGCCTGCTACCATGTGGTGTCCTGAGGAGGACGCACAGTTCAGATGAAACCCAGCCCCTGCCCACATAAAGCTTATAGCTTATCCCCAGTTCTTCACATGGCTGGTTCTGGTCTTGAAATCTCTAGATTTTTTTTTTTGCCCTTCTGCAGCCATCACTGCTCACCCCCCACTACCTTCCTTTTTCTTGAGCCTCCCCTTAGCAGAGTAGATATTGATGTCTGCCAGTACAATGACTGTGACTTGGACAGTGTCCTCACCTTTGTCCTGGAGTAGACGCCTCAGTTTGTGCTGCTGTGGTGTCTTGGTCCCTAGATAAGATTGCTTTAGCTGTGAAAGGCGAGGGTGTTTATGCATGTGCCCATACTCGGTGCTAGGCACACATTTGGTGCTATATAAATATTTAATCCTCTGCCCTTTCCGTGTAACAGAATGATTTGTGCAAGCATCCACTCCCCCTCCTTCGTTCAACCATCCACATAGTGGGTGTCCCTTCTGTGGCCAGGCAAGAGGTGAAGGATTTCAGTCTCTTCTTTGGCGTCCTTTCCTTTCCCACAGACCGTGCTTGACCAGCAGGAGTTCCTCTGTGGGCATATTGCTGGAGTTGTCCGCTGCATTTTTGAAATTTCTGGGTCTCCTCCCAGTCTTGTTCGTCTGAGGAAATTGAAATTTGCCATAAAGGTTGATGGGGATTACCTTTGGGTGAGTTAAAAATCTGCGTTGATTATGGGAGGTCAGACAGAGGTGGCCACATGTGGCCTCAAGGCTGCAGGTTCCCCACCTCAGGATAGGCAGTGGATTGCTTTGGGCTAGGGAGCTTCCAGTGAGGAAAGTCCCTCTGCCAGTGCAGGTCGGCACCCCTTCTGAATTCGGAGCCCTTGGGAGATGCCCAGAGTCCTCAGAGCTGAAGTGACTTGCTGAGGGCCCCACATCTAGGCATTGGTTCTTAGTAGAGAGCTATTTAAAAACAATGATTGTGGTTTGGTTTAGTGACGGAAATGGTGTAACCGCATTTAGACAGTGTCACCTCTTTAGTTGGAGAGCCCAGGGCCCATGGTATTATTCGCTGCTGGTGAGGACAGTCACCGTCTGGCCTTCTCTGCAGCTTCTTTCTAACCAGACAGCATTGGGACTCACTTGCCCAGTATCTGGGAGCTCCATTTACTCTGATTTACAAATTGAGTTCCACCTTCCTGGTTACCTTGGTTCATCAGAAACATGGGCTGGATGGCCTAAAAACCATAATGCATTTAGGGGCATCACCTTGAGTTTGGGGGAACGCAAGAAGATTGATGCCGTTTCCTTTTCCAGTAAGCAGTCTGTGTATGCCTTCTGTAGCCAGTCATTCGATATATTCTAGAATCAAATTAGTTATATATTCTAGAATTAAAGGCTTTTCAAGCAGAAGGGAACCTTGGACATCAGCTAGTTCAGTCACCTCATGGCAAGGATGAAGATACAGAGGGGCCCTGAGGCCAGAGAGCTGGGCCAGGATCATGTAGCCATCTGTCTGTCATTTCCAAGGCGGCTTCCACGTTAGAGCAGCGTGGCTCCTTGAAACTTTCTGGAGAAGCAGGGCAGGGCAGCAGTAGTTATTGAATAGCTACCCTGTGGCCACCATGGTGCTCAGCACTCAGAGGCCTTGTCTTCTGCCCATGATCTCACTGGGGACATGAGAAATTCACCCATGGAAAAATTAGAAATATTCTAGATATTGCATAATAAAGGGTTAAGTAGAATATAAATCGGTTGCCAAACTGTCAATCATCCAGTAAATATTGATTAAGCACCTCCTGTGCTTAAACAGGCAGTCCTGGGGATATAAAGAAAGGCAAAAACAGTCCCTGCCCTTGCTGAGCTCAGTCTAGTGGGATATATGATATCAGTGAGAGGGCTTTCAGCAAAGAAAGAGAGAAGAATGGGTGGAAGTGACAGGAGAGGCATTTGAGCCTGGTCCTGGGGGATGAGGATTTGAACTGCAAGAGAAGAGGCAGGAAGACTTGCTGCTTTGGAGGTCAGCAGGAGTTGTGATGAGGAGGGCCGCTGAGGATGCTGGGCTGGAGTGGAAGCTTGTGCTGGGGGAGTCTGGGTGGTGGGTGAGACTAGACCCTGGACACCTTTAGTGCCCCAGTAAGGGAGGCTGTGACCTTAGGTATAGCTTTGTGTGGTCCCTCTGTGTCTGAAGGTGCTGGGCTGCACAGTAGAGCTCCCCGATGTCAGATGCAAGGAATTCCTGGATCAGCTGATTGGATTCTTTCGGTTTTATAATGGACCCGTATCTCTGGCTTACCAGGTACGTAGATGCAGATCAGTTGACCCCGCTTCATCTGGCCCCTTTTGGAAGGCGAATGTTACCAGGACACCCCATAATGCTGAGGAGTGCTCTCTTGTCATGTTTATAGGAATGTCCTCTTTCTCGTCATTCCTTCGTCCTTTAGCACTGCGTCTGCAGTCGTTAGCTGTGGTGATTGTCCTGTTGTCACGCCCATCCCTTGTCCGGCTCAGCCCCCTCATCCTGAGGGTTAGACAGCAGGTGTTCACATTCAGCTCCTGGCTCCCAGACCTGTGCAGCTGGAGGTGGCAGCCAGCTTCAGGGCTGTGCAGGGAGTGTCCCCTCCCCAGGGGTCCTCTGGCTCTGCTGCTCTAGAGAGAGTACCGCAAAGGGCCCTTCCCCCCTCTCCAGAGAGCAGTGTTGGCTACCAACGACCCGGCCAAAAGGGTGTTCTGTCAGGTCTTCAGGTGTAAGGAATTTATCTGCCACCATTCCTATTTTAGAATGGGCCTCAGGAAGAGCTGAGCAGAGAATGGGACAGTTTCATCGACTATATTCTGAAGAACACCAGTGAGCTGCACAAAATATTCAATTCCCTTTGGAATTTGGACAAAACAAAGGTAACCTGACCTCTCTCCTTCCCCCTTATTTATTGCATATGTGGGAATAATTACTTTTCCAGCCTGTTTATAAAATAGAATGTGTGTATACGTATATGTGTACATGTACATGTATATGTATAGACACCCCCCCCACATATATGGCGTAATAGATATTGCACGTCTGGACACAATAGAGAAGCAGCATGGCAAACTAGGTGGAGTCCTGGTCTCTGAGGCAGGGAGGTCTGGGTTCTAATCTGTCCTTGACACTGCTCTTGTGATTCGAGCCTCAGGCAGCTCCCTCAGACCCAACTTTCAGAGGATTCTGGATTTAGAATCAGAAGGGACTTTAGAGACTGTTGTGTCTGACTCTTCTCTTTTTAATAATAATATCTAGCCTCTACACAGTGCTGTAAGGTAGTCAAAGCATTTTACAGATGCTATCTCACTGGAACCTCACAACAGCCCTGAGAAGTAGGTGCTATTATTATCCCCATTTTATAGGTGAGGAAACTGAGGCAGGCAGAGGTGAAGTGACTTGTCCAGGTCACATAGCTAGGAAGTGCCTCAGGATGGGTTTGAACCCTGGTCTTTCTGAGTCCAAGTCCAGCTGTATGCTGCGTCCCCGAGCCGCCTGTTTTACAGACAGGTTGTGATCTGCATCAAGGCAGGAGTTCCCATGACACAAGTCTTCCCTACCAGCAACATCCTAGACCTTTAGTGTCAATCTGTAAAGGCCTCTCTCTGCCCACATGTGCTCGAGGGTCAGTTGTGTGGGCCACATCTGCTTTTTCTATTCCTCTTGCATTAGAAGTGTTGAGTTGGGGGTCAGAAGGGTCCTTCCCCTGCCAGCATTATCCACACTTGTACTTGTAGAGCTGATAGTAAGTGTTTGGCCACAGCTGGGAAGAGAGAAGGCAAGATTGCAGGTGAGGTGGGGGAGAGAGGCTGCAAAGCCCCTGCTTTTGATGAGGAGACAGTCCCTTTGCCACAGGAGTGGGTGAGACGTGGGCTGGGCAGGCAGCTGGCCTGGGCTCCCATGCTTGCTGCTTCTCGGCATTTTTGATGATGGTGAACGCTATGTCCTTTGGAAAGGCATCTAAGGGAAACAAAGGGGTTTATTTTCCACTGAAAACTGGCGTTCCTGAAGGTTGCCAGAGGAGAGGATTGACAACTCTGTGGCTGCTCCCTCTGTTCTTGGCTTCCATGCTTCTCCAGCTTGAGGTGCCCACCCATGGCTTCCACTATTAGTACTGAGCCCGGCACAGGGGTGCTAAGCAAACATTTCCTGACTTGTTGGCTGCCTTTGGTCGATTTCCAGCTCTGAGGGTGGGTTTACATGGCACCCAACTCACAAACCCACTTGCTTTTTTTAAACAAAATGTCCCCATGAGCTTGGGCTTCAGTCTGTGGCTGGGCCAAAAAGGAACCATATGGGGACCAAACCTAGGGTTTTGGTTTCATTTATATAGCACTGACAAATTAATGACATTTCTGTGACACTTAACTGAAAAGGAAGGTGGCCAGCAGGCAGCTTGTCGGGTTTTCTGATGGGTGTAGCACCCTCAGCTGAGGGCAGGCAGGGTCATTCCTGGCAGGGTGGGGGCCTGGGGCTTTCTCTTCCTGTGTTGTTGCCTGGTGTCATGAGGGGCAGAGAGCTTAGGAAAGCCAGACCGGGAGTGAGTGCAGCTGGAGAGAGGTGGTGGTGGAGTGGGAAGTTAATTGTAAGGTGCTAATTGTCCAGGAGGTCTTAGGCCCTTTTTATCACCAGTGTTAGCATCAGAAACCACTTCCTCCCGCTCCTGCTGAAGAGCAGGAAGCAGAGATGCCTTTGTTTACTCTGTGCTAGGGACAGCGTGGCGGGCCGTGTCCTGTCATTCCTTCCAACTCCTAGCTTTGTCCTTACTGCTGGGTTTTGTGACATCAGCACTTTTGAAGATGGGAAGCTAGGCCGGGCTAGGGTGTTGACTCCGATCTTACCAGGGAGCACGCTCAGCTGTTCTAGAGTTAGGTAGGACTTGGCCATGCCCTGCCGAAAATTCTCTTCCCTCCTTCACCTGGTCCTTGTTGTCTGTCGTCTTATTTTTTTCCACAGGTGGAACCCCTCCTGTTATTAAAAGCCGCTCTCATTCTGCAAACCTGCCAGCGATATCCTCACATTCTGGCCGGCTGCATCCTCTATCAGGGACTGTGAGTAACTTAGCTCCCCCTCTTGTTTATTGCAGTGGTCATGCTTCAGAATTCAGCCTGGCACTGACCTCTTTGTCCCTAGCTCCCTCCTGGCTGTGCTGTCCTGAGGGTGAGCCAAGTCTCTGGTACTCTGGGTGCTGGCATGTGTTACAAACAGAAGATGCCCCAGATTTGATTTGGGGGGGTATGTGGACCGTGTTCAGTAAAGCCAGAAGGGATTAGGGGAAGGGTGGGCTGGGATTTTTCACTGTTCAGTAGAGAGAGATGAATTTCTTTTTTAATGATAATTTTTTTTCAATCAGTAAAAATCTTTTTTTTTCCTTCCTACTCCCAACTTCCCCCCTTTCCCCTCCCCCAGTTGAGAATGGAAGAAAAACCAAATTTCTGTTGTGACATATGATGTCAAGCCCAACAAATGTCTGCATTGGCCATGTCCAAATAATGTGTTATTCTGTCCTCTTGAATCCTTCATCTCTCTATCTGCAGGTTTCATCATTAGTCCTTTGAAATTGTTGTGATTAGAGTTCCTAATTCTTTCAGAGTTGTTTGTCTTTACCATAGTGTGGTCATTGTCCTTCTTGTTCTTCTCACTTCACTCGACATCAGTTTATATAAATCTTCACAGATTTCTCTGAAACCATCCCCTTACATAATTTCTTATAGCACAATAGTATTCTATAACATTTATATACCGTAGCTTGTTTAGGCTTTCTCCAATTTTTAAGCATCCCCCCTAGACTCTATGGAAATCCTATTTTATTAATTTTTAATTTAATTTAATTAATTTCATTTCATTTTTACCCATGTAGCATTAAACTCAGTTTTGTTGGGTAGGTTTTTCTTGGCTATAAGCCCATACATACCCTTTGCCTTCTGGAATATCGTATTTCAAACTCTTTGCTCCCTTATAGTGTTAGCAGCTAAATCATTCATAATCTTGACTGGCTTCTTAGTCCTTGAATTCTTTCTTTCTGGCTACTGGAGGTATTTTTTCTTTAACCCGAAAGCTTTAGACCTTTGCAACCCTTTCTTCCATGACTTTAATTTATTTTCCAGATTTTTCTTCTAGCGGTCTCATTTCATGGATTAAAACATATTTTAAAGGCTTGCTTCTTCTTTTCTAGGAATTCTAGATGAACTTGTGCCCAAATTATGTTTTTCTTTGAGGCTTTGCTTTTGACGTTTTGGAGTTATTCCTTCCTTCTGTGTTTGTGTCCTCAGTGTCCCTGTCACCACAATAGCTTTGAATGGTAGGATTCCCTTTTTGTTCTTATTCTTCCAAGCTGCTTCCTATTTTTAGACTTATTGTTAGGACAGGGCTTTGCCACGCTTCTGGAAAAAAGATCTAGGCTGGTTCTGTTGCTGCTTTCTTGGGAGTATTGAGTCTTGCGTTATTCAGGATCTCAGGGGCAGCTCAATCTGGAGACCTGTGAGCTTACAGTGCTCCCAGAGTGGTCTGATTCAGGACAAAGTCTAATTGCTGGCCCCCAGTCTGAGCTCTGCAAGTTCCAGACCTGGCATTGGGTCTGAGCAACAGTAGACCACTGCTAGGCCCAACCCCCACCTGCCCACTGGGAAGTGTTGTTGATTCAGATCAATAGAACTGTAGGTTTTCCTTGGCACTGGAATTACTGTCCTGGGCATTCCTTTGCAGGCTTCAGGTTTCACTAAAGCTAGAATTGAAATGCCCTGCTCTGCTGCTGAGGTCAAAGACATCACTGTTGTGTGCTTCTGAATTGTTCCTACAGAGCCTCAGGTTTGCTGCCATTCCTTATTTGGAACACCCGCTTTGGACCCAGGTCCCCTCCTCAGTCTGTTCTGGACCTGTTATCTGGAATTGGGCAGTGGGCAGCAAAGCCACCAATTGGCACCCATTCCTGCATTACCTGGCATGGGTATGGGGCCTCTTCTTAGGAGCACAGCCTGACCCTATGATGCGATCTAGAGTTTTAGGGGTGCTGGGACCCCGAGATCACGACACGCAGGTCCTGCCTGAAAGAATTCGACTCAAGCCTTCTTTGAGCCAAAGACAAAGTTTATTAAAGATCTGCCATATTAGCCAGACTCATGAGGAATCTGCCGGTCTGTGAAGTATTAGCTAGATTGTAAAAATCTGAGCAGTGGCTAGATTATAAGAATAAGAGCATCTTAATAGAGACAAGATGGACCTTATATACAGAAAGACTAGGAGTGGCCAAGTAGCCTATGAGGTAATAGAACTCCAGGGGTGGCCAAGGGAGAATGGAGCCTAGATAGGATTAAGGGTGGAAAGTGGCCTGGGGACACTAGGTTAAGGGTAACCTAATTGGGAGATTGGGTGTAGCCACAATGAAAGGCCAGTTGATGAGATTATAGTCTCAGGCCCGCCAGAGATTTGGCCATGTGGGAAAGTCCAAGGTTTTTCCTTTTTGGGGTATAACTCCCATGCTCATTACCTGGATGCTAGGCTGCTGTGCATGGCAGGCTCCTGGCTAGAGCCCTATGCCAGTGTCTACACACTTCCCTCCCGATGCTGATCGGGGTTAGAAAAATGACTCACTGTCATTTTGTCTTTGATTCTCCCATCTGGATTCTGTCTGGTACATCTTCTGGATCTCTTGGGAAGAGTTTTAACGGGGAGGGGAAACTTGCTGAACCACTTCCTCCTGCTTCGCCATCTTGGTTCCTGAGATAGATGAGCTTAAAAGGCCATTTTGTTATCAGGTGAAAACCTGAGCCCTGAAGGGAATGAAGGACTGGAAGTAGAGCTGAGAAAGACGGGTTCATTCTAGGTTTGGGTACAGCTTGTGTAAAAGCAGGGGCCTGGTAGGGATGATGCCAGGTGTGGGGACCAGCTCCTAAGACAGTTTCACTGGATGAGGGAAGTGGTAGGAAATAAGCCTAGAAGGGGAGGTTGGAGCTCAAATGTCAGGTTGTGGAGTTTGTTAGGGTCGGGCCCGTGCTTTAGGCTGATTACTTTGAGAGTGTGAGGATGTGTGAATGGAGAGGAGGCTGTTGGGATAGAATTGATAAGACTACTGATTGAATAAAGGGGGAGGTGGGGTTAGGGAGACAGAAGGAATAAGAAAGACTCTGAGGTTGCAAGAGAGAGGATGGTGGTTCCCTGAATGGACATTGGGACCATCAGAGGAAGGTGAGGCATGGGGGAGAAGATAAGGAGTTCAGCTTTGGACTTGCTGAGTTTAAGATGTTGATGGGTTCCTTGAGGAGAAGGGGGTGATATAGGACTGAAATTCCAGAGAAGAGCAGAGATTAGGGTGAGATAAATTACTTGCTTGATTTGGGAGTCATCTGCATAGAAAACCCACTAGGGTACCTGGGATCACCAAGGAAGAGAGAGAGAAAAGGACCCAGAGCAGAGCCTTGGGGGAAGCACGTACTCTGTGGTGTGAGGATGGCTGATCATTTAGCAAAGGAGGAGGAGAAATCAGGTGGGAGAGCTAGGTCAGAAGCCAGAGGGCCAGATGGTTGACAGAGTAAGAACCTGCAGGGGTCAAGTAGAATGCAAAGTCTTGGATTTAGTAGTTAACAGATTACTGGTAACCTAGGAGGGAGTCATTTCCGTTGAATGTTGGGCTCGGAGGCCAAATTGCAACAGGTTGAGAAATGTGTGAGTGAGAAAATGAAGGTAATTAGCTCAAGGCTTCTTATGCTTTTTCTATTTGTGACCCCTTCAGCGACCCCTTCAGCACCTCTTAAACTATGAGTTGCAACACCACATGGGGAACCCACAGTTTAAGAAGCGTGGGTAGACATTATTTTCTATGCATTTGTGTATGAAAGGGGAAAAGATACAGGATGATAGCAGGGATGGATGACAGTAATAAGTTCTTGAAGGATCAAGGATGCCTCGGTGTGCTTGTAGACAGCAGGGAACAGCCAGATGAAATGGAGGGAAGGAAGATGAGAGAGGAGGGATGATCGAAGGGCAGTCTTTGTAGAATGCAGGCACTGATGGGAGGGAGTAGAATCAGGGGCACCAGGAGAAGTGGAGGCCTGGCCAGGCAGAAGGGCCTTCTCTTCCTCAGAGACCTGAAGTAAAGGAGGGGAGAATGGTGAATGGCGTAGAAAGAGTGTGAATCCTAGAACTGGGAAGAAGAAGGGGGTGTGCCATGGATGGCTTCAGTGTTCTCCTTGAGTAGGATGTGAAGTCCTCTCCTTAAAGAAGGGGAGAGAGTGGGATGAGGAGAGCAGAGAATGAAACAGTTATTGCAGATAATGCGATAGAAAAGAAATAGCAGGATGGCTGTGCAGCCAGGTGGGTCCCGTTCAAATTGCAGAATGTCAAATCAGTCAGTACGTAAAGAAATTAATTCAGTCTGTTCGCTGGAAGGTCAGATGCTGAAGCTGAAATACTCTGGCCACCTAATGAGGAGATGGGACTCCTCAGAAAAGACCCTGATTTTGGGAAAGATGGAAGGCAAGAGGAGAAGGGGACGGCAGAGGAGGAGGTGACTAAATAGTGTCATGGAAACAATGAACACAAACTTGGACAGACTTTGAGAGATAGAGTCACTGAACAACAACAGACTGTAGGAAAGTTAGTAGATAAGAGTGAAAGGATTCCCAAAAACAGAGTGGAATGGCCTATGTGATGGGTAAGCTGGGTGGGAGTGGAACTGGAGGATGATTTTTAGTTTGGGAGGAGTCAGCAGGAATGTGCCTTTTGGACTTTAGGCAGTGAGCCTGGAGGCCTGGGATAGAGAAGCATCTACAGCAAGAGATGGGGTTACTATGATAGGTCCCTTTGGCCTGACTAAACTTACCGAGTGCTTCCTACCTGCAGTTGGAGAGAGGATTTTGGGGAGCATGCCATCTTGGAGACAGGGCCGTGCCTCCAGCCTCCTGGTTTCTAAGTACTTGAGTAGGTGGAGAGTTCTGCTGGCCGTTCTTGCTGCTGCCCTGCTTGGCAGGGACCGTAGGTGACCCTGCATTGCTCTGTCGAACTCGCCACAGCCCCGATGGTTACTCATTATTGTCTCTGTTTGTGTGTTGCACTGTCTAGGATCGTTAGTACCCAGCTGCCACCATCCCTCACTGCCAAAGTCCTTCTCCATGGAGCATCATCTCCTAACAAGGTACGGCGAGGCGTGGTGTTTGGACTGCCTGGGCCTTCTCTTTTCCACCTTGAACCCGGCAATCACTAGAGTGACTAATGCTAGGTGGCGTGTTCATCCCAAGCCATAGTTGGATAATCAGCTTCATCCGCTTGAGCTGGACGGGGACTCTAAAGGTTTTTTCTTGTGACATTTCACACAGTGCAGGCACCCACTCCTGCCCCATGGCCACACTCTGTCCACCTTGTGTTTCTCAGGAGTAAAGTCACTAGAGCAGTTGAGAGGCAGCTCTGTAAGCCTGGAAAGTGTATATTAAATGTGCCAATGACCCGGCCCCCTCATTTTACAGAGGAACCACCCTAGGTTCCAGGGAGCAAACTGATTTCCCCAAGGGCAGGTACCCAGCTGGTAATTGCTGGAGCTGTAATTTGAGCCGAATTTTGTCGACTCTGAAGTTGCGTGCTTTCTTCATGTCACCAGACTGTGTGGTGGCCTTGGCTGGTTAGTTCTTCACGTCAAGCAGGTCGGGAGTTTGATTTCCCCGGAGGATTGTTCTTTGTCCTTTGTTCTCAAAGGTGACATCCTGACGTGCACATGAGTTGGGTTTGAGTACGGAGGGCTGTGCAGAGTCACCAGCCTTGCTCTCTCCTCCGGCGCCGCCTGGGTCCATTGGCCAGATCTAGGTCAGGATGGCTGGAGGTGACCATTTCCCATGAGGATGCACTTCTGTGAAAGGAAGAGTTAATCTTTAACATAAGAGCTGGTGCAATTTGGAAGAAGAGCCAGATGGCTTACACACTGTTCTGGTGTTTGGGTTGTTTGCGGTAGGAGAGGGTGAAGAGAGCTGAAGGGCAAGTTCTGAAGACAAGACCTCATATTACCTGTATTTCTTTTTCTTCTTGTTCTAACTTTCATCATGAAAATCAGCATGTAGGTAGCAATGTGATATGTAATAGCCAGACACTCAAAATAACGTAGCTATCTAGCAATGGCAGCGTGGCTGAGTCATTCAGGCTGTGTGAATGGGGTGAAATATTAGTGCGTCATAAGAAACAACAACTAGGGAGATGTCCTGGAAGCCCAGAAGGGCCTGGGTGAGAGGAGAAAGCAAGAGCAGAGTCAGTCTGACCACCCTGCCCGTAATTTGTGAGCAGTAACACAATTTGAAACACACACACACACACACACACACACACACACACACACACACACGGGGAACCTCATTAGAGTTAATCTACACAAAGGTAAATAGTGAGGTTTGTAAAAAGAATCCGCGTGTGAGCCACACTTGCTCTTTACAACCACATTGTGAGGTAGTGGGGCGCAGTGGGCCGAGTGCTAGCCTGCTCTTGGGAAACCTGAGCCTACACTGTCGGCTTGGCTGCTGTGCGGCCTTGGTCAGCTCTCTGCGGGCCTCGGTTTTCCTAGCTGCATAATGACAGGAGCAGGCTGAATGATTTCCAGGGTTCCTCTTCGCTCTGACATACTTTGAGTCTTTTTGTCCCAGTAAAGGGCATTTATCAGAGAGAACTGTCATTAGGCCACGTTATTGGTTGCCTGGGTGAGAAAGCTCTGGAAGCCTGGACCCCCACAAGTCCTTCACTGCTGGAATACTCACCTGTGCCGGGCCTGGGGCCTGTGTCCAAAAGTAGAGTTTCTAGGTGAGGGTTTTTCACAGCATGACAGAGAACGCGGAGTTCTGATAGTGATGCCCCAGCGCTGCCTGCCAAGGAAGGCTGATGGCGGGCGCTGCTCCCCGGCCTGTGGTGGCTCTCCTTGCCCAGCACCTGCCATGCTGCTGGCTGAGCAGCTTGGGCTAGCTTCTGTCCCATCTGCTTTGCTCTTCATTTCGACAAAGGATGGACTCTGTGCACAGTTGAATTTTGCGAACAGATGGTGCGGTGAGTTCCTGACGGTTAGGTCAGGCCCCAGCTTAGAGGGAAGGAGGAACGGCACCGAGAGTCAGCCGATGTGTGTTTCTTTTCAGAGTCTACCTGCAGGAGGGATCGCCCTTCAGGAACACGGTAAGTGCTTTGATCCATTACAGCATCTCGAAGATGGCGAGCCCAAGCATCATGTTTGGCTTTAAAAGCTGAGCAGCATAAATGATTGTTGCTGCGTTCCCATATGCCCACTTCGTCTGGTCACAAGGTGGTGGAAACAGATGAAGGGAGGCCTCCTAAAGAAAAGTGTTTCTCTAAATCTTGGTTTCTAAGCTGTGTGTTTCTGATTCTCCTTAACTCAGTTGTCATGACAGTATCCAGGCAGCTTCCAGGATGGGTCTGCTCCCATCCCTTTGGGGTGTGCCTGAGGGCAGAGGCCAGGGTACTTCCAAACTAGGGTTTATAAGACAGCTCAGGAGCTGGAAGTGGTCCAGTTTCCCCCGTCTCCCCTTCAGTGAGGGGAGACTCCCACCTACCCATAACTTGTCTTTGTTCAGCTGTCTCCTCCCAAGAAGCTGCTTGTTTATTCCCTCCCTGCTCTTTGCTGCCCTGGATGTTACAGGACGCAGACACACAGTCTGTGGCTATTGGCCCGTACTGTACATCCCGGGCTGGGAACTCATTCCAAGTTTGGCTTGTAAGGGTTTATTGTGTGGGTGGAGCATACCCTCTCCCCAGACAAGTGTGGTCACTATTTACTTTGCAATTCTAGGATGTGCACTGCCGGCAAATGTCCAGATCACCCCAGTTTACCTAACGGAAGATGAAGCTGTTAGCCTTCGCGATTTCCCGGTAGAATGGATGACCAGGTGGGGAATTCAGAACAGTCTAGAAAATCACTCTCAGCTCCCATAGACGTCCAGCCTTTTGTGGGCTGCTTGGTCTCCCAAGAGGGACGAGTGCAGGGTTTTGTAGCCAGACCCACAAAGCTGACTCTGAAAGCCCTTCTGTTAACTTCTGATACCACTGACAGAGGCTGTCCCATATCCACCACGATAAAGTAACAGAAACTCATATTTGCACAGTGGTTTTAAGGTTGGGCAAGGGTTTTCCTCACAGTGGCCCTGTGAAGGCAAGTATTGATATCATCATTCTATGGATGAGGAAGATGAGGTAAAGGCTTTAGCTTTTAAATCTCCTCGTACTGCTTTCACTTTAAAAGAAAAATAGGTCTTTGTTATAAGAGTAACCATATCCCTTCATGTGGCACCCATCCCCACTGGGGGGCACTGTCCTGTTTTCACCCACATGAGTCACGTAGCCTTGCTTCTCTATTCTCATTGCCTGTGGGCACCTGCCCGGGGTGTGCCCTGCGGCCCTGCTGCCTTTTCATTAGTGATTTAAGATGATAACAACTTAGCTTTCTTAACTAGTGGCCTGCTATCTGAACCTGGTGGATATCTGGTAACGTCCCTGACGTTTGTCTGTTTGCCAGGTCTCCCACATCGTTGGCCAAAGGCAAAAAGAAGTTGCAGCCACCCGCTCCACAGTGCTGGAGCTCCTCGGGATCTGAAGACATCTGCTATGAGGATTCTCTGGCCTGGAAACTGGCAGCAGCCCTGGGGAGTGACTCAGTTTGTCCAAATGGCCCCGGAGAAGCACGTGAGGAGTCAGGATGTTTGCTCGGCCACAACTCGGGGAGTGTCAGACCACCAGGATTACAAAACCCTGTTAGAAGCCCAGGGTCAGGACTCGGCACTAGCCCAGGCGGGGAGCCCACTCTGCATTCCTCCTTTGCGCTCCCCATTCCGGGAGGGACAGAAATGGAGAAATCCTCAGTGCATTTCGACTTCCCAAGTGTGTGTGCCTCTGATGGTGGGAGTCCATCCCAGAAGAATGCTGGTAGTCTGGACCTGGCGCTGGCAGAATGCCGCTCCCTAGCTGGATCCCCTGGCGGCCTCACGGGCTGCCCTCCTGAGGGGCCCACACAGACCCCTGTGGAAGGACTCGGTGAGGACGGTTCAGGGAGTCGCAGCCAGGTCTGTGTTCATGGAGGAGGCCATCTCCCTGACGGGCCAAGCAGCCCATTGTCATCGCCTCAGTCGGGCTCTGAGCACGTAAGACAGACGCCCTCAGCTGAAGCACAGGATTCTGGCCCGTCTGCGGTACGGGACGGCCCACAGAAGTCAGCCCATGTTCTGGAAGGCCGTTCTGGCTCACTGGGGTCTCAGGGCAATGACCTCTCTACAGATGGAACCAGCTTGAGCTTCCCTGGGATGGACACTCCTTCCATGCTGGTGAAGATGCAGCTGTACACACACAGTGTGAAGGGGCTGGTCTTGTCCCTGCTGGCTGAAGAGCCGCTACTCAAGGATGGGGCGGTCATCGAGGATGTGGTAAGTTGGAAGAAGAGGAGAGGCATAAGCACTTAGAGAGCGCCTCCTACATGCCAGGCACTGTGCTAAGCATGCCACAAATACTGTCTCATTGGATTCTCACAACAACGTTGCCAGGTAGGTGCTCTTGTTATCCCCATTTTACAGATGAGGAAACTGAGGCAAAGGTTAAGTGACTTGGTGGGATCAAACAGCTAGTAAACGTCTGAGGCTGGATTTGAACTCGGGTCTTCTGTACGACAGGCTCAGAGCACTATCCTCTGCATTGTACAGCTGTGCCAGTGATCCTAGGAATCATTGTTCCCCTTTAGGGGTTGGGATCGTGGGAGTCGGTGTTAGACCGGGACCTCTGAAATCATCTCTTCCATGTTCTCATGTCACAGGAGGGAGGGATGGGTCCAAAGATTTGAGCTGCCCAACCTCAGAAAGGCAAGAAGTGACAGAGCTACCCCCCCACCCCTCCACCCCAGGCGCCTCATCTCCCTGGGGCTGAGGGGCTGCCCGTGGCTGCTGCTGCCGGGCGCTGCAGGTGGTAGGAGGCCCCTCGGCATGGGCTGATTCTCCTCACTCTGCTTGTTTGCCCCGCGGAGCTGGCGCCTCCCTCCCACTGCCCCAGCCCTGGGTCCTGGCAGGTCCAGCGGCCTCTGACTTTGTAAATCGTGGGAGAAGTGGTGATGGTCTGCCCGTCTTGCTATCGGCCTGGCCAGGCTGGTCACATTTTTATTAAACACTTCCTCCCCTCAGAAAAGGTGGTACATTGACCGATGGGGCTCCTCCATCCTCGAGGCCTCTGGGGGAGTAGGACTGTGGGGAAGATGTCAGTTGCCATGGTAACAGCCTCCTTTAACTGGCAGAGTGTGGTGGCATTGAGAAACTGCAAGTCGAGATCGCTGCAGGGCGAGTGGTGTCCTGGGGCCTGCCTTGTTTTTGTTCTTAAATCTATATTATTCTAAGCCTTGCTCATTAGCATGCAGAGCTTATGACCCTTTGGAAATGGGCAAGTCACCTTGCTGCATAAATGGGGGGGAGGCTGCAGGGGCCCTTCTCTGCACAAACCGTGGAAGAGAGACAGCTTCTTCCCTCCCGGTGCTCTGCTCAGCTCTGGCCCAGGCTAACACAGATGGAGCTCGCCCCTCTTCTCCTTGCTAGTTCCCTCTTCTTGGGTGACTCTGTGTGGATAACCCATTGAAGTCCTGACTGCAGTTCTGTGAATCTCATCGCAGAGTATTTGGCTTTTGGACTGGTGTGGCCCTCGCTCGGGGACACAAGAAGCATCTCTTAGGGCCTGACCGTGTACCCACAAAGCATAGAACAACAAACAGCCATCCTTCTGGTTAGGGAGAACAGCTTTATGGAGCACATTAAATCCCTAGAATGATATAAATGAAATCCCTGAGGGTGATGATGGTGTCGGTGGAATAGAGAAAGAGAACACAGTTCTGTTTTGAATCTGAATTCTTAGGATCTGTCTGTGCCTTGTTATGGCAACCAGGGCCATGACTGTTATATAAAAAAATTAAGGCCCAGCATGTCGAGGGACGTGGAGTTCTAGCTGCCACCTGGGGCAAGGGCCTTGTTTCATGGTACTGAATATTCCTCGAAATGGGGGTTTGGTGACGTGGGCTAGTCAGTTGCTAAGAATGGTAGAGAGGAGCCGCCTTGACCATCCTCCTGCCTGAGGAGCTGGTCACAGCCAGGGAGCTCAGCAGACTCTGAGCCTGTAATGGGAGGGCTCCTCTGATGCCTCCTGGGTTGGGGACCTGCATCTGAAGCGCTGCCACTCGTTCCCCCCAAACTTGTGGTTAGCAGGTTGCCGTCATTTGGCAGAATGTTAATGACAAGTGGGGACGAGACTGTGATCATTCCCACCATGGAGAGTTTCTCCCCGATGATTTCGCCTGCCACCGTGGAGCTGTGTCTGCAGGCAGCTGTTCAGGCTCAAGGTGGCTCGGCTTTCTCCTTTTTGAGTGTGAAAATCTCCCAACAAATGCTGGAGGTGGGGGTTCAAGGAAGAGGGTGCAGTGGAGCAAGGACAGCACCAGGGGGCAGCATGGAGCTGCCATATATGACCACAGCACAAGTCCTAAGCTCGTGGAGAAATCTCTTCCTTTGACCCTCCAATCAAGAATTTAAATGTGAGGGCAGGAGTGTTTGAGGAAGCGGAGCCTTTGTTGGAATTGGTTGGAGTTTTAAGTGAGTATATGTTTAGTTCATATATGTTACGGGGAAAGAATGCTGGATTGGGAATCCAAAGCCCTGCGTTCTGGCAGTCTCATTCTGTTCAGAAGATGTTCTTTGGAGTGCTTGTCGGCGCCCAGATGACCTGAGGACAGAGGTCCTTCTGGTCAGTGGTACGAGCCACTGGTGCAATGACATCACTGTCTCTGTCAGCGTTTCTGGGGTTAAATGGCACCTCCAGCATTTACTAGCTGGGTGCTGGGCAAATCACAGAATCTCTTTGAGCCTCAGTGTCCTCAGCTGTAAAATGGGGATAAAAATACCTGCTTTAACTACCTCCCAGTGGTGTGATACAGTGCGTTGTATATCTTAAAGCACTCCCATGTATATGCATGCAAATGTTCTTCTGTGCTCTACCACTTAGGAATCATCCTTTGATTCAAGAGGAGATTCAGTTGCCATATACCATGTAGTTCAGGAGCTTCCAGTAAGGCATTCACTGTGGGTTTAGTTTTTAATTGTAAGAACATATCTCAAAATTGGTTCAAACAGTGGGCTATATATTGGTCCTTCTTAGAGCTGTTGAGGTCTGCGGTGTAGAAACTGTCTTCTCATGAGGTAGGCCTTGTCACTTAACCAGTGTTTATAGATGGAGTTCGTTTAGCATTTGACGCATTAATAAAAGAGGTATGTACAAAAAAGACTGTAGCAAATCCTGAGCTGTTGCTCTCCATGAGAGATACGATCACAGGGAAAAAATGGTGAACCCCCAAGACATGGGGAAAAAAAAATAAGAATCTTCACCCCCGCTTCCATACTCATTCTGTCCAAGTCACTGCACACTCTACTTTTAATTCTCTCACACAGCTGTTGGAAAAACAGTCAGATGAACAATAAGGCAGTATGATCTCTGCATGCTCGTTAAAGGCACACACATCATGCCGTTAATGCTCATCTCACTGACTCTACGGGAGGTGACTGTTTGCACAGCCACACTGGCCGAACTTCTGTGGCCAGCATTCCTTGGGGCTCATTCACTGGAGGAGCCCACTGGGAGCATCTGTTTTCAGATAGAACTCCCCCAAAGCCACTGCTGCCATCCTGTACACATCTATCATGCTTGCTTTCAAGCATTTGGGCCTAGTATTTATTCCAAAACTTCTGGTCAGGGTTGTTAGAAACCCACATTAGAATTCCTACATTGTCGAAGAGCTATTAAGAGACTCCTTATGTAGACATCTGTAGGTAGTAATTGGCTCCAAAGGGGGGCTTTCAAGCTCTCTCTACCTCTGAAAACCTCTTTGGAGTTATGTCTTAGCTCCCACAGAGAGATTCAGATATTTGCAGGCTGTGAACCAAATCACAGCTGCGTAAAAACAAAACTTTTAAGTGACTGTGCTCAGAAGAAGGTTAACCAGCCCTTTCAAGCGATTCTGTCCATTGGCTTCTCCCAGTATCACGGTAGCCTGGCGTCACTGAACGGTCTGGAGGTTCACTTGAAAGAGACGCTGCCTGAGGAAGGGTCCACCACAGCACGTGCCACGTACAACTTTCTGCACTATGACAGCATTCAGAATGTGCTCACGGGTAAGGCGCTCTGCTGGGTCATCCAGGCCTGGGCCTGGTAGAGGCCAGAGTTATAGAGGTCACGTCATGCTAAACATGCCTGAGATGTGAACGGAAACTCACTTGGGGCCAGGCACCCGCCGAGTTTGTGAAAGCTTCCCTTGTGTGTCTCGTGGGGGCTGCCTTCCCAATAGCCAAAGATCACAGAACTTCTGAAATGGGGAGGGGGGTGGTGCTCCATCGCAGAGTGAGGGTTGAAAGGTCATTCTTCCTTTCTCAGCATTCAGGGAAGCAGATGAGTCTGGGCCTGGGCTTTCACTTATGAGCCATTGGTCAGCTTACTTTTATTCTCTGACTTTGATTAAGGCATGTAGTTATTCATCTCTTCCCAAAGAGTCATAGTCTGTCCCAGGATTGGATTGGAGGAGGACGGAGGGGGCAGTAGGGATGGCTTTGGTATTTACAAATTCATTTTTAACTCTCAAAAGCCAACCTGCCACAAGCATCCACTTCCCAGGACCGACACCTGCTGCGGGCAGTCCGTCTGATTCATTCGGACTTCACCCAGATGCCAGCTTTGTATGAGATGACAGTCAGGTAAGATTTCTGTTGAGGAGATGTGCTCTGCTCAGTTATTCATTGCCGTCCCTTCTTCCTGTGCACCTTCAGGAATCAGCTGAGAGCCGCTTCTTAAGGATGGCCTTTCCGAAAAGACTGTCGGGGTCCCCTGACCCCGGTCCTCCCGAACTGTCAGTGCTCTCTCCTTTTTCAAAGGGCCATTGAGGTTCTTACTTGTGAAGCTAACGTGTTTTTGATGTGTTCCTCCAGGAGAACGTTAGCTCCCAGAGAGCAGGACTGTCTTATTGTTCAGTCTTTTCAGTTGTGTCGACCCTTTGTGACCCCATTTGGGGTTTTCTTGGCAAACATATTGGAGCGGTTTGCCATTTCCTTCTCCAGTTTATTTAACAGGTGAAGAAACTGAGGCAAACAGGGTTAAGTGACATTGCCCAGGGTGACTCAGCAGGTGTCTGAGGCCGGATTTGAACTCGGGTATCCCTGACTCCAGGCCCAGTTCTCTGTGTACAGCGCACCAGCTGTCTGGACTGTCTTACACACACTCTGTATTTTTGTCGTCCAGGGCCTAGTGCAGGGCCTTGTAGTAGGTGTTGAATAGGTACTTGTTGGATGGTCTGTTAGGGAGGGAGGAGGGGAGAGAGCTGTGGGGGGTGGGCCTCTCGGGCCGTGTCTCCGAGGTCCATTTCCTCACCTTCGTGGTGACGATCCCAGCGCCAGACTCCTCGGCCCACAGAGTATTCATCCTGGGCTCTGGGTCGTGTGTGCCGGGAGCTCTTACCATCTCGTCTCCTCTTGACATTGTTTAGATGAGGAAACTGAGTACCAGAGGAGTTGGTGTTTTTGTGTTTGGCAGTGAAGGCGCTGTCAGTGCCATCTATTACAAAGGAGCGAGGATGGTTTAGTCTGTTTAATGCTGTCCCTCCCCGCAGCGTCCCTCTGCTCCCTTCACAGCCAAGGCCTGCTGTCACCATCCCCTCCTTCCGCCCCGTTACAATTGGGGCTTTTCCCTGCCGGAGCCCTGGAGCGGCTGAAGCTCAGCGGGGAAAGAAGCCAGGCCCTCACAGCGAGCACTCTAGGCCTGTGTCAGCATGTTTGCTGCTCTCAGGACTCAGACGGTTTAGCCTGTACTTGAGTAGAACTTACCGTAATCAGTGTGTCGTCTTGGGCCTTCAGTCAAGGTTCCCCGAAGCTGGCCACAGAAACTTGTTTTGCTGGGTTAGACACTCGTTGTGTGTTTGTGTGTATGTGTGTGTGCAGGGCACGTATGTGCTTGGGTATGTTACAAGTGTGTGTGAACATGCGTGTGTGCAGAGCATGTATGTGCTTGGGTATATTATGTGTGTGCACACACATGCACACCTTGGCAAGTTGGACAGAAAAATGAAGCCTGTGGCACCTTATATGGCAAACCCAGGAGGTCATTGTTTGACTCTCTCTGGGCCCTTCACTGTTTGAACTCCTTGGGGCACAGCACTGGAGTCTGGTGAGGAAAGCTGGAGCAAAGAGGCTAGCAGCTTCTGGCATTCGGCATCCAAGGTGATGCTTTATAGCATTTACACCGTTTATCCAGTTAACGGCCCAGGAAAGTGTAGAAACCTCCCCTAGACCTCTGGTGGGAGCCTCAGCCACACCCTCTGCAAGAGCTGCCCTTCCGGACTGGAGGGGAGACGAGAAGCTGGTGTTTTCTTGGGTCAGGGTTAAGCAGGAAGCGGGGAGGTACAGGGTGGGGCATCCCCTCTCTTTTCCGGAGTCTTGCGCTGGAAGGCTGCTTCTCACAATGCCCTCGTTGCTTCAGTTCCTTGGACATGGAAAGAATAGAGGATTGGGAGTTGAGACTGAGGAGGGAGTCCTGGCTGTGACATTGGGGAGCTGGGGCCTAGAAATAAGGCATTTCATCTGATTGTGTTTCCTTACCCCCCAAACACTACTCACCTGCAAGGCTGGCATAAGGAAAGCTCGTGGTGACCTGGAGAGCGCTGCCTACCTTAACATGGGCCGCTGTCCCAGGAAGCAGCATGGTGGGGTGGGTAGTGCATTGGATTTAGAGTAAGGAGACCTGGGTTCAAACGTGCCCCTAGAAGCTTCTTGTCTGTGTGATCCTGGGCAAGTCATTCATGTTGCCAAGTCTCAGTTTCCTCATCTATGACATGAGATAATGCTGGTAGTCATCTGTCTCGGGACTGTTACATGAAGATGCTTGGCAAACTTTAAACTGCCCTATAAATGTGAATTATTATTAGTTGAAACCCACAGGTTCTTTTATGCCTCCAAAGGCCCAGTGCCCTCCCAGCCTCCCCAGACCCTCCTGGGTGGGTAAAGAGTCCCCAGCTGCTTTTCCCAGACAGTGGAGCTGTCCCTGGCATCCAGACTTTAAGTGACCATCATCTTTCCTGAACAGAGCCCCCACCCCTCCCCACAGTAGAATGTAAGGCTCCTCAGGAAAGGGGCCCTTTCATTTTGTCCTTCCTTCTTCATCACCTAACAGTGCCTGGTGCAGAGCAGGCCTGCAGCAAATGCTTGATGAATTCCTGAAAACCCAAATCACGGCAGTCTGTATGTTATTGTACGAGAGGCAGCCTGGGATAACGTCTGGGCCTGGGTTCAAAGCCTGTGTCTTATTGGACTATTACATGACTTCTCCTTTCTGGGACTCTGTGTGCTTCTCCAGCAAGGAGGGGGTAGGCTTGCATGGCCCTGGAGTCCCCCTCAGCCCTACAGTGCTGCAGCCATTTGTCTTTGAACAGTGTACACTCAACTGTTTGTTGCTTTGTTGCGGTCGCCAGGGTTTTTCACGTCATTTCTCTCTTGCTGGGCCCATTCCCCATCTGTAAAATAGGAGACTTGGTCTAGATGACCCCCCAAATTCCCTTCCAGCCCTGAAGCTTACTCTCCAGTCTAACAGTGACCATCACTGAAATTCTCTTTTGTGGTTGGGGATTTCCAGTTTGAGGCAGGGACATGTTGTGACTGTCCTTGTCTCTCTTTTTCTCTCCACTAGGAATGCCTCCACAGCAGTATATGCCTGTTGCAACCCTGTCCAAGAAACCTATTTCCAGCAGATGGCCTCCCCTGCTCGGAGCTCTGGTTTCCCCAGCCCCCAGGACGGCATCTTCACCCTCCCGGGCAAGGCCAAGCAGAAGCTGCTGAAACATGGGGTGAACTTACTTTGAGCAGGATGGACGTGAGGCCTGCCAGGGCCAGAGGCCAAACTCCAAACGTGGCGGTTCTGCCCTGCCCTGTCCTTAGGAAATATGTGTTTTTAGGGTTCTGGGGAGATGCAAGGGGTGGGCCTTTGTTTTGCTGAGCATATTTTTCAGGGGGTTGGGGTGGTGGTGGGAGGGTTCCCTTCGAGACCAGCAGCTTCCCTGTTATCTGTCAGGATGGAGTCAGTCCTACCAAAGAGTTACAGGAGGAGCTGCAGCCCATCCTGCCAGGCCCGGAAGGTGCCATTTGCTGCTGCTGCTCCCTGTCTGGTTTAAATGATTCTGTTGCAGGGGTAGGTTGGCCTCCTCTTCGTGCCTTGCTATCAGTCAAAAGCTTCATCTCGCCTATTGGGTGTGATCGTAAAAGCAGGAGACAGTTGGGCCAATATGTACACCTCAAGATTGGGTTATCCTCTTCAAAGTTGTCCCCTTATGAGACTGCACACTTGTTCCAGGGAAGTTGCCGTTGCTTAGGATATTTTGGGGACTTCTCTACGGAATAGCTTTCAGAGCCTGCAGCACATTCTTTTGAGGCTCCTCAGTAGGGGCAAATTCTTGTATCATGAGAACACAGACTTGATTTTTGGAAACAACCATAAGCCATATGGAGCCGCCGCTGAAGAGTAAGGTAGGTGATCAAGCTGGGTAGTGCTTCTTCTGGCAGAAAATGGCCCTGACCCAGGACCATGAAGTCAGTAATGTTGTTGGCTTTCTCAGGTGTCTACATCACAAACAGGATCTGAAAGCCCCCCTACTCTGTCCCATTCCCCCAAGTCCCCAGACGTTTGGCACAAGGGAGTATTGTTAAGTATGCAGCCAGGATCCATCCAGATGCTCTGATGGGGGCATCCTCCCAAAGGATCAGTCCCAGGCCTTTCCAGCGTCAGGAACAAAACGGTGACCAGAGTCACAGTGCAATCTCGTCCAGCAGCACTCACAATCCCTCTTTGTTAATTGAGGTGTAAAAGATTGTGAGGCAGCAAACTAATGTATTAACTTGGAGGATATGATGCTCTTATTTATAACCAGATTTCTATACCTGTTCTCAGTAGGTAGGCAGTTTAAAATGTTACTATATCCCTAACCCTAAACAGTAACACTCTAATTAACAAAGTGTATGAATCGACTTGTGTCAGTAAATGTGTTTTGTGGACACTTTTTCTTCCTCTTTGTATGATTGTTTTATTACTCAAATGATATGTCCCTCAAGAACAGCAGAATCCCAGCTTGAGAATCGTGTCATGTTGAGTCCTTCAGCTTCTTGTGACTGGGAAGCCAGCTCACAGGAAGCTGGGCTGCGATGTCCTCCACCACAGCCGTGTGAGGTAGGTAGTGCTAGTACTATCCCCATTTGACAGATGGGGAAACCAAGATTCAGAAAAGGAAAATGACTTCCTTGTCCATGGTGATGGAGCTACTGAGTTTTGGAGCCAAAACTTTAACCCAGTGCGCCTGAAAAAAACATTTCTTGTCCAGAAAAGAATGTTATTTTGAAAAGATTCCTCTTTGTGGTTATATGTGCCCTGTGCAAGTCTACTGAAATGCCCACATTCTCAGGCTTGGGTTTTGCCCTGTTAAAATTCCAGTGCACCTTTTGGAGCTGGGCCCCTCATCTCAGCTCTGTGCCTCACGGCATGTCTGAAGACCGCTTCCACGGCATGAGACAGTGACTTGGTGTGCTGGCGGGCACCCGACTTGGGGAGAGCAGTCCATGCCTCATCTGGTCTCGCAAGCCCTGCCCTCTACTACTTGGGGGGGGGCACATTTGCTGCCATAGAAACTTCAAATGCAAACTGCTGTGATGCCTGAGAAACATCTCGTGAGGGAGGCAGCAGTTTTGTCTTGTACACTTGCTTGAATCTTACTAATCAGATATAAAACTGGGAGGTAAGGTGAATGAGGCTACAACTGGCTGACTTGTCTGCTAAGAGATTGACTTCACAGAATGTCAGAGGTGATTAAGAATACGCCCTGCAACAGAGCAGACAGGGAAGTTTCCAGCCTGTGTGGAGGGGGGCAGACCATGCCACTTGGGGATGTTCTGATTATTAGGAGGCGTTTCCTCATATCCAGCCTGAATCTGCCCCTTTGCACCCTCCACCCCCTGCACCTAGTCCTGTGACAGCATCCGCCCCACAAACCTAGCCAGGTGCTGGTTCAGAAACTAACCAGGGTGTTAGTTAAGGGTAGAGCAGAGGGCCCTGATCTATGGCACTTTCCTGTTCCTAAGACTAGAATTTCAAGTCATAGCAGATCATTGTATCAGATCTTGCACATGAGAAGCTTTTGGGGGAACTGAAAGACCTCTTTCTATCCTTGACAGAACTGATCAGCCTGTGTCCATCAGAAATCAGAGGAATGTTGCCTCGCCATGGCCCTCTGCCTCTGAGGTTGGACGTATGTCAAGATCTCAGGGGTAGATCTTGGGAGGGGAGGAGAGGCCCCAGCCGTAGGGAGCAGTGAGGGGTCCAGAGTGAGAGAAGGAAAGGCAGTGACTTAGGCTCAGCTCCCACCAATGATCTCCTAGCTAGCCAGCCCTGCTTTACTGGGGGTCACGCTCTGAATGATACCCAAAAGGGCAGACTGTACTGGCCCGGGCCCAGCAGCGTATCAGTGACCAGGATATGGACATGTGCTAATGCGTTCCAGGACAATGGTTTTCAGAAGTGAGGAGAAGTAACCTGTGGCAAGGAGTGGGTAATAAGAGATTAGGATCAGCGGTCTGGGTGTACTTGTTAATAGAGCATAAAGGAGATAATCCTTTTGTCTGATGCCTTCTGCCAGTGGTGCTCCAATCTGCTCAACTATTCTATTGCCATCTGTCATAGAAGGGAATTTATAGCTGTACCTTGTCCTGTACCCAGTTTTACATCCACCAGGGAAGCAAGTGTTCATGGAGGGGCACCCCCTCTCTGGGGAGATAGTGCTTCAGTGGGCATCCATTTTATCCTCAGAGGACAAGCCTGGCCCCACATTCGGGTGACTCTGTGAGCATGGGTTTCCATTGTGTACTTGAAGCTGCCTGTGAATTCCAAAGCTTCACCCGCATCTGCGGCTGAGGACTCTCTGTTGTGACCTTGGCCAAGCGCCTTGGCTAGCCAGGATTGCTCCGGGTCCCTTTGGGCCCTGACCCTGGCGCTGGGTTGGAGGCCACAGTGCCAGGGACAGGGTGGTCTAGGCCGGCCTGCTCGGTTTCCTTCCTGCCTTTTTGCATGTCTCTAGCAGCAACATGAAAATGACTTTAGCAGTTGCATTGTTGGCATCACACACCTTTGACTGGTGAGAAACCTCACAGCCCTCAGGCTGGCGCTCTTACTCCTTTTTTGTATGCTGATGGTAAATTAATTCACACTAAATCTAAATTGCCGTGAAGCGTCTTACAGCAAACACAGGTCCTGGTTTTCTGCAGACCCTTCACTTTTTTTTTTTTTAATAAAAAGCCAAGAGTAAAAAAACCCAAAATGTTGCTGATGCCTGATGCTTCCCATCTCCTGGCCTCCCTACATGGGGCAGAGAGTTAAAGGAGGTGGGAGGTGGCAGGGGGAGAGGGAGCCGCTCCCACAATGAAGCCCACCACCTCTGTCAGTGACCTTGGCCTCATCTGGAAGCTTGTGTTTCCATCACCCCTGCCAGCCAAGCCTCTCTGTGTAACTACTTTAAACTATTGGCCACCCTTAGGGGTTCTGAAATGATTCATCATCCGATGGGCTTTTCCCCGCCTCTCTTTTAAAATCAAGTTTTTCCTTTATTTGAAAATAGCAATTTTAGTGGCCTACCTTTCTCTCACCAAAAGCACCACATTCTCTGAGGCCAAGGACTGCGTGATTAAGCCAGAAATCCTGTTCAAACAAAACCACTTCATTCTGATTTTCAGCAAAGTCCTTTATTAGTCTCCTGTTCCACATCCACTCCACGTGACTTCAGGTAACCAGGTACCTATAAATACGGTTGGCTTTGTCGGCTCTTCTCAGAGTTCAATACGTGTAGAAATCATGCACCTCAGTTGTTCTTAGGTGTAAAAATACTTAAGGTGTATTTGAAATTTCTGCCTTTTCCCACCATCTAATTATTGAAAAAAGTATAGAAATTTTTCATCTATTTAAACACTTTCTTTGCACATTGGCTAGTGATTAATGCAAGGGCCTGTTCACTGTTCTACGTGTGTTCTTCCTGGCAGCTTTCTGCTCAGAATGTTCCACGGGTATCTGGTCCCTGCATGCTTTTTCTAGTGGATAATGTGCCTTGTTATTCCGTTCTGGACCTTAGCTCCTTCCCTGTCTACCCCGACCAGGATACGCTCTCCAATAAAGGCATTTAGTGCGGCTGGTGACCAAGGCTTCCCTCAGCAGGACATTGTTTCCTCACCACTGAACAACCAGATGAAACAGCCCTGTCCTGCCAGACCAGCCTCTGGTCCTTTCATCCAGATGCAGGACTGAACATCCTCCAGAGGAGAGGCCATGAGTGATTTGGGGGTTAGTCTGCACCATGTCAAAATCAGTTAGCAGTGACAACTGAGCTGCCCGGCCTGGGTGTGGGCTATTCTCAGAGGCCACACCACAGCCAGAGAGCAAACATTTACGCAACAGACAAGGAATGAGAATCATAGGCAACAAAACCCCAAAGCAGAACAGAGACTTTGGTCAAATGTCAGATTCCAGTTTTGCTGTGGAAGGACTTTCCTAGAATTTCAGTGACCAAGTGATTCCTTTTCCTCATAGAGCCTTTCAGCTAACCTCTTGTCTACCTTTATCATGAGTTGGCTGAAAAGAACTCACTCTGGGAATACTTCGTGCCCAATTTGGCAGTGGGGCTTCTGTAAGCAGTGAGGTAAGAGAATCACACCCTCCGGGCCTGGGCCCCGGGAAGCCAGGAGTGCGCCCAAGGAGACCAGCTTTAGCTCTGTAGGAAAGTGATGTTTAAAAAGTCTCCAGGTCCACCAGTCCAAATGCCCTTTGCCATCACCAGCCACACAGCAGTTTAGGAGTGGTGCAGAGGAGTGCCATTTCCCCAGGTCCTGAAGCTGCTGATGCATTGTGCTCAGCACCCGCTGAGCCCTGGGAATGAAGTCAGAATGGGGCTGGGGCTGGAGGCTGTGTCCCTTTGGCCCCCGGGGAAGGCAAAGGGTCCACTGTGGTCACGATCGGAACCCTCTCATTTTGTTTCTCGTCTTTTTTGTTTGTTTTTTGTTTTTTAAGATGAGCACAAGAATTTTCACGTGATGACATTCAACAAACAGCCTTGTGGTTACTCTGAATCTTAACACTGCTAAACACAGGAGCAACATAACACAACAAGGGGACTGCACCCAGAGCCACAGAGTGAAAATAATGCGTGTCTGTGTCCAAAAGAAACCCCTGGAGCAGATGATCGGAAAAAAACAAAACTAAGAAAATACAAGCTGGAAACTTCCATTTACAATGACCAAAGAAGAGAGAAATCGAACATGGCATTGATCCCAAAGGAAAGCTTTCCACTGAGGCAGGTTTGTGTCTGTGGTAATGCCGCCTCAGCCAGGGGCACACTGTGCCGGAGCCCTTCTCGGGCCAGGCCTCTGTCCTTCTGACCCACGCCAGCACAGATGGACTCATCGTCCTGGAGCAAAGATAAAATCAAGGGCTTGGCGTTCAGCTGCTGCCACATTCGGGTGCCACAAATCGACCATGAAAACCACTCGTGGCCCTTCTTCTGCTGAACCTGAGGAAAAATTAGGAGGTAAGAAAAGGGCAAACATTGCAGATATCACTGGTCAAATCACATTCCTCCATCTGTATTGTGCTGGTCCTTGGCTCACCTCTAGGCAGCAGATGGGTTAGTCTTGTCTCTCAACATTGCTTAAAGGGTAACTCTAAAGCTTCCCTGCCAAGACATACTGCAAATAAAGTCAGGACATGGAAGGACTTCGAAGACAGGCCTGTTTATAGACCAGGAGATAGACAGATAGATTGTAGGGTTTTTTCCTTCGTTCTTGAAGAGGACCATGACATCAGGAAGATGATCAAGTGAATGGATTTAAGTGAGGCAAGGCTGTGCAGAGTCACAAACCTCACTTTCTCCTCCAGAGCCATCAGAGTCCAGTGGCCAGACATAGATCAGGACAACTGGAGATGGCCCCAATAGATAGTGATACATACACACATATAAATGTGTGTGTGTGTATGCACA